AGTCAAACGCGAGCGCAGCCGGCATGGGCGGTGAACGGCACGCTACGTGTCTGTGTGTGTTGACGCCATGCTGTGCTAGTGTCGGCTTGCACGTTGAGTACACTACTGGGTATCTACATAGGTCAAGCTGGCGTCGTCTGAAGCGGTTGGTCGCGGACGTGTGGTCAGGTTTGTGGCGGTTGTGTGAGAGCAAAAGGCTATAGTGTCGCAATAATGTCGTGGGTATTAGGAGTCAGTGGGAGTGGGATACATGTATTGTTTGTTAGTTCAGTCGTGTAAGGCTTGGACGATATGATGAAGAGGTATACGGGCTTGGGGTAGAATAGGTGGCTGACAGGGGACGCACACAATGCACGGGGGTGAGACGGAGTGGAAGGAACGCGAGAGACATTGGGAGGGGCGGGTAGGGGATGGGAGGGGGAGGCGAAGGATGTAGAGAGTGGCGTAACCCGTAGAGAGAGATAGTGCAGGGAGGAGGTCAGGAGAGTGGGGAGAAAGGTGGGGAGGAGGAAACGGTCGGAGGGGTTGGAGGGGGGCAGGAGATGTAAGGGCACGAAGAGGCGAGAGGATGGGGCAGGGCGGGGGACGGAGAGAGCCCGGGGCGAGCGACAAAGGCGTCGCCGTGCGCACGAGGAGAAGAATGGGGGGGAACGGAGGCGGAGGAGAGGGGACGGGAGGCGGAGGACAGGCGGGGGGAGGGGGAGGGGCAGCGGCGTGTTCTGTTAGGACGTGCTGGTTTTTTAGGGAACCGGAACGAACTGCCGTCGGGCAGCACGCCTGGGGACCTCAGGTCCAAAGGTTGGTATATGGCGGTATTAAGGGTAGAGCTAGTAGAAGGCATAGAGCTGCAGGGACGTTCGAGTCAGAGCCAAACCATACGTTCACGGGATAAGGAGGACAAGGGATAATGCGTCCGGGGGATCGGTAGAACGGGATACACGCGCGCCGGGAGCGGGGGTTAGGGAGCTCCGCCGCATCACATGAGAAATTGGAGACTAACGGTCAACACGAGCGTTTTGGAGC